TCTCTGTCTCTCTGTCTCTCTGTCTCTCTGTCTCTCTCTCTCTCTCTCTCTCTCTCTCTCTCTCTCTCTCTCTCTCTCTCTCTGGTAACATTTCATCCCCTTCGTCCCGAACCCCCTTGTCCTCGTTCTATACTCTCAGTCTCTCCTGTTCCCTCATTCCCTCTCTCCCTCTTTCTCTCTCTCTTTCTCTTTCTCTCTCTCTCTCTTGACTGCTTTATTGTCTGGAGCCGCTCCATCGAGGGTGCATCCCATTCCCGGCTTTAATTGAGACATAAATAAGGTTTGTTTGGCTTCGCCATCCAACCAGCTATCCCTGGGAATTGGGATCGAGGCTTTACCAATACAACTCGTTCTGCATAATGGCGACGTTAAATCTTCCTGTAGATAAAAGTTTTTCCACCTTTTCGCGTAGGTATTCTCGGATGAAATTACTTCGACTGGACAACCAACCATGTAATTGCACCTACTTCGGACACGGACCTCTATACCAATTTCAACAGTACAATTCTTCTACCGGTAACACCTTACCCGTAGGTATTCTGTATACTACGCTTAGAAATAGCCAATACTTTGGACAAATATTCCACGACCCATGACGTCACACGGAAATAAATATAGACATTTTGTGGAATCTTTTAAGAATTAAAGATGAAACTCACAGTTCAAGACTGTCTTCATCGATCTTGGATTTCAGTTGAGATATTAGCAGTACTACCCAGTTAAAATTATTAAGGTGCATCCTCGACAAAGCCGAAACTTACGTCCGCCATGAGAATCCCATAAGGGGCGTAGGCGAGTTTTTGAAGCGGCACCATGGAACGGATAGAAGACGAGGAAGGAGGAGAAGGATGAAGAATAAGTATAAGGTAAAATAAGCATGGAAGGAGAAAAAGAGACAGAGAGAAAAAATGAAAGAAAATAATAGTCGCGCAGTGAGTCCCGTGCTAGTAAGATCGTAATTCTCGTCAGCCAGGTATCTCGGGAGACTTACGATCTCCTTTTGTGTTCTGGCGGCAGCGGCTTTTACGCGGTACAAGTTAATCCCACGAGTTGGTTACGTATGGGGATACCCCACCCACCACCCGCAGGGTACTAGGTATTAGATACTCCACTGCCCGTGGGCAGCCACTCCGATCCTCTCCACATCCACCTTCGTCCAGCAACGGTGCTCGGACATCCACCTCCGTATAATCCCATATCCATGTACTCTGGCATGTGCATGCTCTTTATATACTATATAGGACTTTACATCCAGTAGAGAGTATAGCTCGTAGCTCTATCTCTGACTGACTATATCTAAAAACCTGCCTGAAAAAAGGGGGCGCGGCCGGTGCTACGACGCATGCCATATGTCACCCTTGTTTAATCTCGTCTCTCATTTATGCTACTGCGAAGCGGCCAAACAGCGACCATCATCCACCCCCCACGAATGGCCATCTCCGCTATCAGCTCCCTTTCGACTCGTTGCAATAGGGACGGTAATGTCGTATGGGATGACTTTTCTTGTCTACATATACACACATTGTCAACCCTTTTTGCTTTCGTCCCCTGTTACTGCAATTTTTAGGTGTTGGTTTATGTCGTCGTTATTCTGATGTTATTCGGCAGATAGATTGTTTATGGGAATTTTTGGCGACTTTGGGGTCGCTTCTTCGATTTACACGCGAGTATTTTTTTATAGTGGAGATTTTCAGAATACGATGACAGCGTGAAAAGAGGCTTCGATCAAGTAAACCAGTTTCGATGGTATTTTTAAATAACTTTGAAAACTTTCTTAGGGTTCTTTTTCGACATACCTTTTGATAAGTTTCAACTTGTCCATGGAGAAAGTTTAATTTTCTTTGTGACAGTATGGAATTAACGGACTTTCTGTGAAAATTACAAACTTTGTATTTCTAAAATAACTAAAATCTTTCGTTATATGTCTTTAATTCGTCGATTTTTCCTCCCTTAATTATGACGGTAATGATAAGCTGCAAAAGAAGAAAATTCTTGGTGAGAATCGTCAGGCGGAATAATTTCTCTGGTATGCTGGACAGCCATTTTGAAAAGGCGGGCCATTCGTATTCTCAAGAGCCCATCGGAAACTTGTCTTTTCCAGGACATTTCGTCGATTTCCGTTCAATCGCTTTAACGGCAGGGCAAAGTTCATTGCGCAAGGTACCTACATCTAGACAGTCTCCTACAAGAGGGGTGGTATCGAATCCATAATGGTAAATCCTCGATTGGAAGGTCCTTCCTAGTACATCCAGATCCTAGAATTCCTCAGACAGTAATCGTTTTATCGGTCGCCAACAGACCAGAGTCACATGACGTCGCTCGGCGTTCCTGCAGGTTGGGCTACATGGCCACATGTAGCCCAACCTAATATTAGATACACGCCCTTAAGTGTGAGCTATTGACCGATATACCTATGGTGCCCCCCAACCACGTAGAGGATTCTAATCTCGTTCCACTCAGCCCTGTTTCCCATCCCTTCTGGCAGCTCAAAACGAGCTAACGTTCTCCACCCCCGTAGGGAGCATCTTCCGCTAATGAAACGCCGGTGAGCTACCGTCGCCGCGTGCCTCCGGCTTTTACTATATCTAGAGCCACCCCCGCGACTTACTGGCGCGGTTCCTTACGTCTCCGGTGCGCACGAGGGTGGCTTATATTGAATTTCCTTTAATTTAACCCTCGGAAAATGTCCCGCGTAAAAACCGTTGCTCAGCATACGGATTCGAGTGTCTCTGGTAAAGCCAGCTTGGGCGCATACTAATTTTTCTCGCAATAAATACATTTAAAAGCACATTATCCAGTCAATTAGAACAATTGTTCATTGAGGTGCTATAATTACATAAAATTACATGATTTCAATATTATAAATTTATGACGATTTCATGTTGTCTGTTTTTATTTAGAAAATTTTAAAAAGTTTCAACGAAGATATTTTGTATTTTCTCACGAGGAATAGTTTTGGTATTCGTAAGGGTCTCTTTTAAGCGGCAATACATGATTGCCAATATATCAAGGTTACTGTGTAGAAAGCTTTGCCTGTCGTATAAATACAAGAGTGGATCTTCATTAGGGTGTAAAACCAAGAGAGCCCTTTAGCCCACAACCAAGTGACATACGTGGATGGCAATAACCGTGGTAAAGGTAAGAACTTGCAGTAGGTAATAACTATGGATCTGCCTAACGCTTATTTAAGATGCCTACCAAGATGACGTTAACTATATGTATATATATGTATATATCGTCCCTAGAAGGTAAAGGAAATCATCCCTTCTTGCTCCTCTTGAATTTCAACCCCGTATCTATAGCCAAGAGATTTGACGCCTCCCCTATATACAAACTTTCCTCATTTCCGATTAAGTCAAATCTACCCGCCAGTTTGTGATTTTGAGATGTCGCGTTCGACAGTAGCGTCATGGCTGCCACTACACCCTAACGATATTAGCGAATGTCGCGAATATTATTAATCCGTACGTGTATCGGGTGTGTGATAATTTGAACAAGATATTTTCGAGATTATAGACGATCTTGGTATAGAAAGTATTGGACAAAATCAATATTAAATCATTCTTTCTGTACTCTCAAAATCGTCACGTTTCAATTTTGAATTAATTTTAAAAGTGCGTAATGGTTCTCCATACTAGAGAAATTAGTAGAATAATACAATTCCCTTATTAAGCCACTCAGTATGTACTCAGCTCCTCCAATTATCCGTGATCTGTGTTAGGATTCAGTTGGGCTTAAATATGCAATGCCCGACATGGGTGCCTTGCATTTCTAAGATCCCGCAGGAACCGCAGAATGTAAGGAGAGGAAAGAAAGTAAGATGGAAGCGGATGTATGTTGGGCACGTAGCCACGGGGATTGCCTCGATGTGCCATAGAGGCAATCATGCTGGCAATGCAGAGGCCCATCTTACCACCTTACCACCCTGCATATATACTTACTATATGTATATATATATATCCACTCTCACCCTTTTCTCCAGCAGCACCATTTGGTGAGTTCCGTGAAATCTAGAAATCCTCGCTTCCTATACCATTCAAGTGTTCAGCCATTTTCGATGCAATATATTCCCATACGAGGGGTGATAGAATGATCTAAATAAAAACCCATTGAAATTCATTCTCAATTGAAATTTCCGTAGAAGCCTACAGAAATTAAGAGTGCACATGACTTTAGTCCTTTTGTCCCGAAAGATACTTAAAAACTAGATAATCTCTCAACCTCATCCTCGTCGTTAAAAATACCACGCGCTTATGTAGATATGCTTATGGTAATCTGATCAGACCCCGACTATTTTCAGGTATCAAATTTCGCAAAACCGTAAGATCAAGTACAGCTGCCGCTGGGCTATTTACTTACCCGCCACTTTTACGAGGCGGTAGCAGAATGGCTGCTCCCTTACGTAATAGTGGAGTTCGTTCGGCTGTTTCGTAAAATTACGTATCTGATTTCGTCCATGATAAACGGCGTAGCACGGGGCAGCCTCCGCGGCGTACAGTCGCGCGAAGGGAGATACTCATAAATCGTATTTCATTACAGAGAGCGTGGGCCGCGTGGATGTATAGTGTAGAACTCTGAAGCGCATCAGCATTCAAAGTACTTGGGGGAAGAAGGAGGGCGCGGCTCTTCAGGACAGAAGAGGAACAAAAACCCCCGAGAGGAGGATGTTGCATTAATATTTATACGGGAAAAGAGGGCTAGGAGAAGGCGAGATGGCTCGTGACGGAGAGAAAAGGGAGGAAATACACGAGCCCGGTACCTCTGGCTGCTGGCTCCCGCCTGCGTCTCCTCGTAGGTCGCTGAAACGCGCGCGCGCGCGCGCTCACTGAAGGGCAAGAGGACTCAAGGGGACGAAATGAAATGCAAATGCCTTAACGAGCCACTGAGGGACTGCCGGAGTGGCTCCTAGTCCCGGTCACGAATGTACCTCAGTCTCATCAACGGGCTTGTGATAATGCGACCCTGCCGAATCCCCAACTTCACGGATCTTCCACAGTTTCCACAATTTCCTTTACACCGATCGTTCAAGGTGCGTATATTCACCTGCTGGTGTAGTCGTGCATGGACCTGGACTAATTCCCGAGCTAGACGTTATAGAAGGACTTTGGTACTTGGCCATTGCTCCTTTCATGATGGGCGGTTTACCATTGGGTTGTTTTTGCAAGGGGGAGATAAAGAGGTATAAGAGGTGCATGATCGGACGATGGAGCGAATATCCTGAAAGAGGTATCGGAGGATAAACGTCGAGAGAGGTGTTAAGCGAAACTAATTTTCTGCAAACCGGCATTTATCGAGAAAGATCCAAGGTGGAGCCACTTAGGCGAAGTAGCCAGCCGATGGTGGAACATCGTGGTTACAAGTAGCATAATTATCCATACGGCCATTTTCAAGTTAATATATTCCAACAGGGATGCCTCGTGACTCCACCGTTAGATTTCAGAAGTGCGTGCTGTACGGCACTAAGTTGTTTGTATTTTTATTTTTTTTTTTGTAATCAGATTAATTCAAATTGTTCAAAAAAGTCTTCCGTTTTACGTCGTACGTTAATTAGACGAGAGATCCTCGGGGGGCAGGTGCAATGGCTGTCTAATTCGTATTTATTACACGGCTGCATTACGCTCTTCCGTTGGACGCCTTGCTGATGCCCATCCCCCTTCGTAGGGGGGACATGGGAGCATCCGCTCCTCTTTCGGAAGGAGTTAGAAGCGGTACGCAAACGTTTGTTATTTGCAATTCACCCCTTGGGATTGCGAGGGGGTTGGAAAGGTTTAGCACAGCCATTATACAGATCACGTGGCGATTGGATTCCTCGTTGAGCGAGGAGCTGCCTTCCTGCCTGCCTTTCTGCCTAGCTGAATTCTCTCCGGGTGCCTTATTCCTGGATGGTTGGCAGGCTTGCTGGTTCCTGGCTCCAGGCTGGATGGGAGGGTTACAATACCCTCACAAATCCAAGTCCAACTCCGCGGCTTTCATTATAAATCCACCCACCCCTTCGTGCTCTGCTATACGGAGACCCCTTGAACCCCTAACTTTCAGCCACTATTCTCCACGATCCGTTACATCATTCGGTTTCCTTACCATTGCGATCTCTCTATATGTGAGAAGTGAAGGAGGAGAGATGATTCCTAGGCAAAGGAAACATGGCGAATGGGTTTTTCAATTTGGAACTCTGCCAATGGTGAACTATGTAGAAAATGAAAAAGTCTTTGAACCGCTACGGTATTGGCATTGCCTTGGAGTAAAGTAATCGGAAATATTCGAAAAATTCCTTTGATACGACGCACCAGAATTATTATTATTTATACACTGAACGGTACACTTGGATTACACGAAATTTAAAATATTTAAAAAAAGGAATGCCGTGCACCACGTACTTTTCATCTTAACTTCTAATAGCAACGTCTCATAGACACCTTCGGACTACCAAGAGCCGTATTACTCTCATGCCATACCTAATTCCTCGGATTCCACGGAATCCTTAATTCCGCGAGTGGCTCCACAACTAAAGCAGTTCTTGGACTTTTCCTTGAAATTGTTCAATGGAATTTCGCATCCCGTCCGCTCCGTCCAAAGTAATCCCGTATTCGTCCAGTGGCAAGGTTACACGGGACGTTTAATAGAATTGGATTAGTTTTTCGCAAAGTCACGTACCTACTACCGGAAGTATCGAGATATATACACTACGGAAGGACAGCGGGTATACGATAGAGGAAAAACTTTGGGCTTCCCAATTTGGTCGACTGCCAGTTGGAAGTCGTGAAAGCACGCTGCTGTATATAAATGTAAAGTCAGCGACATACCTCATCTTAATAACCCGGAGCCCGAATGATTTAGACTTTATAAGGTGCCCGGACGCCATTGGATAAGCAAGACTGTTCCGTTTCAGTCCGCGAGTTTGGATTTGGGGAGCACCGGATGCGCGTAACGACGTCTTACCTACTCCGTCGGTCCCATTCCGCTGCCTCACCGCGTTATTTTTCTACGTACCCAATCTCGGGGCCACCCCGAGCATCGAACACGTGTTCCACCTCTACTAATCTCCAACCCCCGTCGCCATTCGAAGGCGTTGGATATGGTCCCAGATGCTACTACACTGCCGTCTGCGACCTCAACTTGTTTTCCAGACAGCGAAGCTACCGGAACACACTCTAAAATAATCTACGATCTTCGCCAGTGTACATCCAGCATCCTCGATCCCATCCCTAGGAACCTATACCGGAAGTTTATTGGACAAGTACTTTTTTATCTGGGAAAAATCGGTTCGAAGGTATGTCATATACCTTCCGTACCTACCTACGTACTTTATATGTATATACCTATCTGCTTAGTTACCCACCTACCAACATACCTACCTAGGTACTACCTACCCCGAATATAGAACGCTAAACCTTCCGAATACCCTTCGGCTGGACTTTCTATCTATGGTGTGACGTTACGGGCACGTTGGACGGCTCCAGGCACATAGATGTCCCCGTAATGTCCCCACTAAAACCAAATGGGTCATTTGATTCGGAAGCGATATCTCCCTTATGAGAGATCTATATGTACACCGCCCAGGGGCTATTGGGTGGGACAGTATTGTGAAAATATGCAATGTCCGATATCAGGAGCGATCATTTACCAAAGGGATAACCTTCTGGTATGGACTATACCGTGGCTGGAGAACATCTACTGTCATCTTGTTTACATAAAGGCGGTCTATATCGTTATATTGATACATTGTCTGACCATTATCCATTTATTCTACTTGCACTATTATTATGTACAGGTATGACAATCGTTATCGTCATTTAATAATTTATGGTGTTGTTACAGTATTTTACAAGAATTCTTATGCCAGATAATCTACAGGAGTTTATGCGAGTTTCACATAATTTGGATTAACATCCGGTCTGTAATGGGTGATGGAGCTTAGCTTGGGGGATATAGGCTGTATCTATGGGAGATGCCATTTGAGAGGAGTAACGTGGTGTTTATCGGACCATATACCCCAACCATATCGTATTGCCAGTTTGCTCGCTTAGACCAAGGGGTTACACGTAATCCACCCCTACTTCAGCCATCATGGCTACTACCATACTGTTTGCTACCCCGTTGCTGCATTACTCTGGAGATCTCTAGCCTCTACTCGAGAGGAGTCGATATCAGCATTGCCTTCAATGTGTTCTTTGTAAATATTAAAGCATCGATATTTTAATTGAAAAATTTCGGAAACTTCTTATCTATCTAAATAATACAAATAAAAATTATATACAATATACTGCTCGAGCCGAATATTTTATTAGCAATGTAAAGTGTCGCATTGCGTTCTAAGACGTATAGTGGCATTTGTCCTTTTTAATGGTGTACGTAACTATGCACATTTCTATAGTATCTAGAAAATGCTGTCAGTAAGTGCAATGGTTGTTGTTCAAGGGTCGAGTTTACGAGGAGATGGATATGGGGGAGGGAATGAAAGATATCGTGGCTGCGTTCGGGGTGGCTTATGTAATTAATTATTATTGTTTTTTTCGAAACGAACTCAGAGCCTATAAAATCGCCTCATTAGGCTCTGCCTAAGTACCAATCGGCAGCGGTCGTTAAAATTCTCCCCTGAAACTTCTGTTATATATCCCATTTGGCTTTAGCCTTATCGCATAACGATCTGCCGTCGCTGTCCATATAACGAACCAATAACGACATCCTACTCAGAAAGGACAAGATTTCACAGGTAGAAGATTACCTGATTTTCATTAGATCGGCTACGTATAGATAGCCTACGTCTCATTGGCCATCCTGCCATAGAAAATGGCGTCGAATACAAGCGTATTGTTTCTATGTTAAATTTGAATATTTATTACGATATAAAATATAAATCTTATCATCCACCAACTCTTCTCAAAAAGCCGAACAGAATTTGAATCATATTTTAAAAAATTTGACTCGGTCGATTCTGATGTATAAATTTTTCTTTTCCCCTAATTATGAAAACGAACCCAGAGGTAGCCGTCGTTGGGTCGACTGTTGTGCGTAAAAAAAAGTTACTAGAAATAACGCGTCATCTATCGCAATAATTTCGAGATGAGAAAGCCTCCGAAACTGGATTCTATACAGCCCTCGGGGATTCTACGTAAATGTAAAAAGGACGAAACGAAAAATACAGCCGAACACAACGGGCCGTTATAACGGTAATTGCTTGTAAATGGGCTGACTATTAACTCTCATTCTCAATTTAAACGGTGTCATGGCATGTTTATAATGATTATTTGTGGCAAATGGTGCTACGTTGCCCGGCTCGCTCCAGGGTGGGGTTACAGTTGTGCCGCTGTAGAGAGACCTCTGCTACAAATAGGGGAAATAGAATAATATAACTGCATTTGTATTTCGTGAATGCACTATCACTAAACTTGCCCTTGCACGAGTGCACGGATGCACGCGTAATCATGTTGCACGGCGCATTTATTTACATTGTACCATAAAGCGTGGCCGGTAGGTAGTAGATAGAAATCACGAAGTGAATCCTCGTTGAGTCAAGTTAATGTTGAAATTAAGTTTTAAAAAATGAACATTTATTTGTTTGAAATATTTTAAAAATTCTTGTTTTACCTTACCCGAAGAAATGTATGTTCATTACCGAGTATGAAAATCAGGTTATGCATCTCATTGGAATTACGTATTATGTATGTGTATTAGTTGTCTACTTTCCTTATAAGCAAGTAATCCTTTATGGGGACATTATTTATTATTTTTAAATGTCTGATATGTAGACTTCTTTCATGTTTTCTTTAACATTTAATTTGATTTTTAATGTAAAAAAGTTTTAATGTTGCGGAGAAATTGGTTGATTTCGCTATGGCCATTATTATCGATTAAACCACCTATATGAGAGTTCATGTACTTCCAGTTGGCACCTTTCCCCACAAAAATACTTGCAGAGGGCGCAGTAGGTATAGAGCGAAAATTCTCGTGATCTTCTCGGCTATGACTCCCAGGACGGCCTTTCGGCCCGAGGTGGGTCTGCTCTGGAACGCGTAACACGCATTTTTATCAAACGTTACGAGCCCTGAAACGACCCGGATGAAAACCAATATCTTACTGCCGCACGGGAATTCGCTCCAGCCCTCGCGTTCTGTTTTCCCTACTCGGCCGCTTTTTTCCGCGGATTCCAATCCTACCATTTGAGAGCCAACTCTTTCTCCATATAATCCACGTTACTGAGAATTAAGGTGGCCTATTGGGATAGATTCGTACCATCAAAATGCGTGATTTGACTTATGTACACGTATAACCTTTACCAGGTTACGATAATTTGCGTCACCTGTGTATGTTGAAAAACTTTTTTTTTTCTATATTTTTGAAAAAATATTTAATGTCTAATCCAACGTAGAGAATCACACGTCCGTGAACGTCTGTAACGATCTCGATAAAAAGAAATTGCCAGTGAAGATTTGCGTAACAATAAGATGCCGGCTATCAGTCACGTCGTAGCAATTTCGCTAAACTGTAGAGCGAAGGGACGGGTAAGGTGTTCGCGTCGAGAATGGAGTAAAGGGACGGATGAGAAGCACGTGGCTGCGTATAAGAAGTCTCTAATCTCGGGCTGCGAAAGTTGGCTCGGAAGAGGGCAAGGGCGTCGAAGAGCTCATAACGCGCCCTCCAAGTAGCAGTTAGCCCTTAGAGGACCCCTGGTAACCCGAGGGGTTTTCGTCCTATGGGGTTTATGTAAATTCGAAGCCAAAAATACACGCGCCTATCGTTACCAGCTGGGATACGAGCTAATTCAAAAGACGCTGGACCAATTTTTGAAGACCTTCAAAGTCACGACAGACTCTCCTTATACCGCAGGATTGCTTTTTTTAAATCGAATTAACGCATCGACTATATCGTTCAAAAAATTGGAAATTCTTACTATCGATGTGTTTACCATCGTAAAAAGTATGATTTAGAATTTTTCCTTTGAACGGAAAAGAACTAAAAAAATGATAAAGGAAGATCAAGGTTAGGCGAAGTGGATGTAAGAACCAAGATGGCTGGAATGGAGAAAGGTCTCTTCTTCAACGCAAAGTATCTTCACACAGTTATACATAAAGCCACACCGACATTGGGATTTAAATCCGAGCGTGGAAAGCTTATACAAAGCTCGAAATTTATTGGATGGAAATCCTCTCGGCATAAGTGTGCAAGTTCCTCTACAGCGCGGCAAAGTTGCTCCTGGGATTAACACTTTCCTATCTCTTCCTGGATGAGCGGCCATTTCCTACAAACTCCTGCGTCTCCATCGTCGGGATCTGGTCGCTTGACAAATCTTTTGTACTCGAAATAAACTCGGAGCTCTGACGGAATCCTTCTGAATTCGTGAATACAGTATAACGAACTGGAAACTGACGGAACTGTCTTTGACGATCCAGGGACGTGTCTGAATTCGACGCAGTCCGATAATTTCGAAACTGGCATTTACATAATAAACAGTTGACAGTGCATACTGCCACGAACAGAACTATGCCCGATAAATATAATTATCAATTGCCAAGAGACACAATAAACAATGAAGAAATAAAAGAAATTTCCACAGTTACTTTCACATCGTATTAGGGGTGGCGTTTACTTTTTTCGAGTCACCAGGTACTACCTTCAATTTTACGTAGATAGGGGTAGCAATGTTAAGTTACGTATATATAGGTAGCTAAGTACGCATACATATAGTAGTACAGCCGTCGGCCGTAGGTGCACGAATGGCGCTTACAACGAATAAACAAGATATACTGTGCACTCTGCACATACAATTATCGTTATAATCGTATTTTTCGAAAAGCTTACAGGCGCCGAGCTCGGAAACTTTCCTAGCAGGATTTGGGACGTGAAGCGAGAACGCGAGCTCCCGTGAGAAATACTGCGCGAAGGGGCTTCCGTAGGATACGGCAAGGAAGCTGGGAGCACCGCCCTTGCGGGACGTAGGAGGGTGGGTTGCAGGACGATTAAACCTCCTTCTCTACCACCTTCACATCTTCCACTTCTTCCCTGCTCGTCCTCCGGAACCTACAGAACCTCCTGGACCTCCGTCTTTTCCTTTGCCAACCCCCATCCCGCCGCGTCCCTCCGAAGTGCCTTGCCCTGAAAGATCGGATTCGCGGAATTCCCAATGGCAAGTACGTTCTCCACGCGGATGTTTGCCAGGAGAGAAGAAGCTTGAAAAAAAAAGTCCGACAAACTTAGAGATAATGGCACAGCGCTCTGCCGCTTCAAAATGGGAAAACTGACTGCAGCTATTTTAGGTTCTTCGTAAAACGATTCTATACTGCATTGATATCCTGAACATTCTGGATCAAGAGAGCCTTGCTTCTTTTACTGAAATTTTAATAAAATATTAAAAATCGCAAAAGATTATCAGGTAAGACTTGAAAACATGTTAAAATTGAAGCCATTACACAGTGTCACATAGCCCATAGAGATTGCTCCCTTAAACCCTCGTTTCTCTACTCAATCCGTTCGATCGTTTAATTAAGCAAACGTAACGTCTACGGTTTCCATTTTGTCGGACTTTTTATGTATTTTTTTCCCCTTTCTCTCCTTCTCCTTCTCTCTTTCTATATATATTGGCCTTTCTCCCTCTACTTTTTTCTGTTCTGAACGGTCTGGCATTTATGGGGTTAACATTTCTAAAACTCGCCGTCCCTGGCCGGGGAAGGAGCCAGAAGCAAAAAAGATAGAAGCGACGGAGCGAGCTAGTGGACGGGGGTAATGGCAGTCTTGGAATTGCGTTATCAATCTCCGAACCCCTTGGCCCTCGCGCCCCGTGCCCCAGGGCACTCTGCTCGACTCCATTCCATTTCATTCCACCCCTAACCCCTACGGTCCTCCGCCTCCCGGTTCCCTTCGCCAACAGGGAAACCCCGGCAAACACGGGGCTTCCGGGCAGGCAGTCGCGCAAGTCCTCTCCCCACTTTCCACTTTCTGGCACATAACCCTCCGTTCCCAGGGTATATGCAAACCGAACCATCCACCTACCCACCCTCTCAGTCCTTATTGCATTTTATATTATATATATGTATTTCCGTTCTCCGAGATACCACCCAGAGCCTAATGTTTCGCCATCTTCACTTTCAGACCGAGAGTGTTCTTTACTGATCTAACAGTGTTCGGTTTGTTTTTTTTTTTTTTAAATAATCTTAGAAATTTTCAAATATTGGCTCAGACCAAGATAAGATTATTCCTTGAAGCACTGTAGTAATTTTATGCATATTCTTAATCTCCAGTAAAACTAGTCGACTATATTTGCAAATGAAGGTCAGTCTTCGTAATCTCAATCTAGTAGTCGAATTGGTACATTTTTGTTTCATATCAGAAATTTAATTCTAAAAAAATCAACCTCCTCAATTTAACTTCTCCAAAAGGCCCACTTGTATTCAGTGCCGATATAAGATCGTGGGTATACAATGTATATTACATCAGATTATTTTTTTCTTCTAGGACAAACCCATCATCCACGTATCCACGAATTGAAAGATTCATCTCGAGTGGCATTAATCGGAGGATACAGATGCCTAGTTCCGATAAGTCGAGTGTGTTTAGGCGTCGGCAGCAAACGTATTGTTCGCGAATATGCGAAGAAGGAAGAATAAGAAATAGGATGGCACACGAGAAGGCAAAGGGGACGCCGAGCGTCGAAGGGACGCTGTTCTCGAAACGCCGCGACGGCCCGTTGGTCTCAAAGTCGATAGCGTATCGCTTTCACAGACCCAAAGGTTACCGAATCGTTCCAAGACTATCTTAATGGCTGGATAGATCGTTTGATACTATGGCCGAGTCGTAAAGGCTATTGCTCTGCCTTCCTTCTCTCCTTTCAGCCTCCCTTATTCCGTACAGCTCGCGCGCGCTGCCACCCCTCGCCGCCTGACTTCCTACTTTCCCATAGTCGCAACCCTTAGCCTTCTGGCAAACTGGCTTAGCGCCACCCATAGATGCCCCACACTCATCCAGCCTCACCCACTACATTTATCCCTAGGACGGGTGAACTTGAACGGCACTACAGTCAATCGACAATCGACCGTCGACTTCTAGTAATTAATTACCAGGCTATCGCTACCCTCTTAAAGACGAATAAAATACCCAGTTGTTATTCATTACGCTTGCGATTCACGTTCAAGGCGAATGCACGCTTCCACTTGAGAAAAAAAATAGTGCGGAATTTTTTTCCAGCCTGAAATTGTGATATTCAGTGCTGTACCTAGTACACGGAGATAATTAATTATACAAATAAATTATGTCCCGCACAACTGTTGCGTCTTTATAATTTAACATTTTTTTGGGAATTCCTAAATAACACAATTATGAAATGATAATCACCGAAGTTTTACTGAGTTTGTGTAAATTAATAATACAAAGTCTTACTAACCTATGCATAATAAATTTGCGGTGCATTAAGCACGCGGTATGAAAAAAAGAAATTACATTATAACCGAATAATGAAAGTGCAAGCGAGATTCATTACTTGGAGATATCTATGAAATTTATGTTTTTTGCAAAAATACGAATAAGCGTGGTAGAAATTTGTATTTTTTGTATGCAGTTATTCTCGTATCTTGTAGTTACACTGCATAGTATTTTTACTCGCGCGAAATCATACTGAGTGTAATGGCGAAGTTTAATAAAATTTTTAAATCATTATCAAGTTAAGCAAAAAATTATTTTTTTTTAATGAAATTACGAGATTACGTATCGACACGAGTTTATCAGAAAATCATCACTGCCTTAAAACACCGAGAGTATTTAATACGCTCTCTTTACGATGACATTTATTTTCACCATACAATACGAGCGACATGTAACTTAATTAAGGCAACGACGCGGAGCCGACCGCGGTTTTGCGGTTAACGTTCCTATATGCGCTCACAATATTATCTAGTCTGCTCTTCGTAACCGTGGAACGCGCAGCAATGGCCGACGGAAATTGTATTTGTTGCTGCACCCGTACGTAACTGCCATCTCGCGTTAAATTTATACGGGCAATAGAGAAAATTAGTCGATACCATAGCTATAGTCGGTGCAAGAGATACGAAAAGGAAGATTGAGGTAATAAATTAAAAAAAATACACTAACCCCTTTAGCAGGATAATTTCATTTTAATCAACAAGCATACACAAGCGTTATACATTTTCTGTATTGCTGGAATTGATCCGTGAACTCTTATCGCATCACAATATAAAATAATAATTACGCAGTAACATTATAAATAAATAAAAAACATACAGTTCGATTTTTTAAACGCGTTTAAAAAGTCATACAAAGATCATATACATAAATGCACGACCTGGATAACGATAGCAAGGATGATTTATCGTCGTTACGTCAAACTGTACGAGGAGGCACGACGCCGTAAAAAAGAAATGTAAAGTGTCACAAACCGGGACAAGCTATACCCGTAAGGCATATAACTGCCTGATTAAAAGTAACGACTTAAGCATAAACGAAAATTTACGGCCAATCGCCGTGTCACCTACTCACTCCTTCGACCTCACGCGTACGCCCCTGTCATTCAAAGAGGTGTCAACAGCAATCACTTTTACGAGATACTTATTAATTGTTACTGCGGTTTTACGACGGCGTAAAAGTGCAGCTATACGACCGCTTGTGAGCCCCGGCAAAAGGGGGAATCCTCAATGGATTATTGCCTCGGCAATGGCCACGGGATACGTTCGTACGCGTGCTAGGGTCTGCTACCAAGAAAGGGGAGGCCTGTACCAGGAATCTTTTCAGTAGCTAAGGTATTACGTGAAGAGCTTGAAGATCCTGGTGGATCCAGTTTTACAGGACGAGAAACGTCAGACCGAATAAGAATGGCACTGCATCGGTACATAAGCGCTTCATTGTTGTATACGTCCAGATGCACACGACGAAATCAACCGAAGACTCAAAATAAAAAGGAAAAATAGATTGTACAACTTTTTCAGGTAACAAAGTGAAGTGATGCCCAGAACTGTCGAATGGATTCTTTATAAAAGTCAAAGATACCCGTATAGGTTACGACGGCCCTTGAAAAAAATATTGTTCGACGTTTTAGAAATTTTCGTATTATTTTTTATATTTTCTCGAAGAACGTAGCAGGTATCATCGTATAGGCAGGATGCTGTCAGAGAGGCAGTATTATTTGTCCAGAGGGTGAAGATATGTAAAACTGGGCGTGGAATGAAAAGAATTGGTAAAGGGATGCCCTGGGTGGCGACTTATATGACGTGGGCGTTTGGCCTGGGTTTAGATTAGGGAAGGTTGGTATACCTAGCTACTAGAGGGGCTTCCTACTGAACTCAGGACACTGGGAACTGGGGTTGGCTTGGCTTTGGATAACGGCCCTAGAGCGGCGACGGTAATGCGCCGCGCAAGTAAAAGAGAGTTTTTCTTTTCCCTTGGCTCCGAGCCCCACTTGGGCTTATCTCCCCACTAAATCCAGCGATTTTAATACGCGTTTTCTTGGCAATTTCCGCGCTACACATTCCTTCGTCTTAGCACCGGAGCACCACTCTCCTGTCTTCCTCGTACCGACTCCGATCTCGCTCCTTCTGAAACGGCCTGCGGGGTTCCCCTTCTCCGGTACTCTTTTTTTTTAAATTAACTTTATTTTTACGAGCCTATTTAAAGCAATTTCTGATTTCCCTTAATTCATTACCCCGTCGTTTCGTACAGCCGCGTAATGCGCCTCGTGAATTTTGCCGACATTTCTCATCAGTTAAACCCACGGCGTGTTTGGAATTGTAAGCAAGATTCTCGATGTTCCTTCAGACCAGGGAAAAATCTTTTTCGAATTCCTTCTTTCCTTTTTCAGAATTCTATGAACAACGTCATCCTCTTGAAAACGTCACTGGAATTTATTTCTTGGTAAATACCATTTCCGTTTTGTATCGTTTCCGTCCATAAGTGGGTACAGTAATAATTTTTGAATATTCCTATACCTTCGTTATGATTTGTATTCTTAGCTGTTCCAATATATACGACGACCAAATGACTTATCGTTAAATAAAGCTGTCATTAAAAACGTCGTTAGCCAATGTCACGTCGTTCATGATCTTTTCTTACATCACGTAACAGTTCATAAAGTAAATATGAATGTTAAAGCCTCGCGTGTCAAGCCACATACGTAGAATCAAGTATTCTCTGGCATCATTTTCATAGGGATAATTATATTCAGTAGCTCTATAGACCTAACCTAACTACATAGATTTTCAGTAGTTTACGAAGACCCGGACTGTAATAGAGACGAGTGGCATTCTTATGGTGGGGTCCAAAGTTCCCATACACGTCATGGGGATACAATAATCGGCCATAAACAAACAGGTTAATAAACCGACGGTGGCAGCGTTGTCGTCGGAAATGGGTGGAAGGCTGGGCAAACTTTCTTCTCGGGAAATTGAGCTGGATTTGAGTTATTGAATGGCGTTCATCCCTTGGCCGTAAGGGTGGATTCCACGTTCGCTTGGTCGTCTTATGTCGTGGGGGGTCGACCCGGCGTTCTCGCGTTACATCTATCGCCATTTTTCCAGAAAAACGGGGGAAAGAAAACTTGTAAATAAAAAGAAGTAACGTGACGTAACTGCCGTTCCGCGGTTGTCGTAGGCGCCACCCTGACGTCAATCTAGACGCGACTTAATAAAAATCAGTTGTTTCGTCTCCCCCGTTGGCAGCATTTCCGATAATTGCTCAGTTGCTAGATAAACTTTCTTGTACCGTAATTTACTTCACGTCTTATCCACTTTCCACGCTGTACCACCAAGGGGCGATATGAGAAACGCGCGAGATTCGAATGAACTTTTTATACTCAAAATACGAGACACTGAAAAATAATAGATATAAGAGTGATAGTAAACCGATCAAGAGATTCAACGTCGGTTCCGACTTGTTATTATTGTACATAATTTCTTATATTTGAAATTCTTGGAACTAATGCAGATGCTGTCGTACCGTAGTAAAGTAATATTTTTCAGAGGGAAGTCCCCGAATTCAAATCGATAGCTAACTTCAAGCGCGTATAGTTATACGTATAGTAGACACTGGAAGAAAGGAAATAAAAATGACGAACGGCAGATACTTAGGGTCGAAGGTTACGCACAAAGCGACTATTCATAACGAAGGGATCTCATACTCACGAGTCCCGCTCTATGCGCTATAATAAATCTGAAGGGCACATTACCACACCGTCTTCCAATCCTCGCAGGACACGGGCTCGTAATACCTAATCATGCCGACTGTTTCACGAGACGTCTCCAACAAGTATTAAGTCTCGAAGGAAGGATGGGTGGTAGAGGGCTGTCCACAATAAATTCGCCCAGGCGAAGCAATTACTCGGGCAGGTTATAACGGGTGGTGGGTTAAGATTAAAGGGAAAAAAAATTCCCAGCGTTCTTAACATCCTCATCGCCATAAGGTAAGCAGGAGGCGCAGCATTCAGGATCAACGGCAACAGGAGCAGCAGGACCCAGCAGCAACGGCAGCAGGTAGACGGACCAATAAATATAATTTTTGTGTGAAGTCCCCTTAAAGATTTTGAATTTGATCTCCGAGGGTGGTCCTTGCGCTCGTTCTTCACCCATGATAGTTTTTCTACGGCTCCACCTTCCAAATGGTTCATGGTGGTAGTTCTGGCAAGAACAGCACCCCATGAACTATGTCGGAGATTAAAAGTCATGGGGTCCCGTAGATCAGGAGAGCGAAAGGGGGCCGCTCCTCGACTCTCCACAGTATTGGTACGTGTCTTAATCTAGATGTTCCTTGGTTCCAGGATCCCTGGACCCCCTCATCCCCCGTCAAACATGGACGGCGTACCCCCTTCCTTCAACTAATCCTCACCGAACCCACCTTGTAACTCTCCCTCGTTTTTCTCCTTTCCACCACACACTTGACAGGTTTGTAAGCCGACGTCGGAGTTTTGTCTATGTTTCAGCGCTCCTTACACGAGATAGCGAGAGGCATATTTATTGAATGCGCCCACTTTAGGATATCGTGCGACCCAAGACAACCATCTTAACGATCTCTTCTCAATGCTATCGGTATTAGAAGTGCTTGTCTAGGATGTCTAATTATCGCAAACTGCCACCGTGGTACCGCGTGACATTTTTATAAGGGTTTTGGTTTCCACACATTGTCAGTTTTATAATTAACCATTAAGTGTGTGACTAAGACGCGTGGAATATGATTGGAATTTTTTAATTATCTTAAATGGTTTGACTGTTGAAAATATAGT